TTTTTACATTGCATGCATTTAAGCAGACACAGGCCATCTCTCAGAGATGCTATAGTTCAGTGTGGCTCATCTGAGGTTGAAACTCTGATAAGTGTGAAAAGTGTCGGGTTGAGAAAGGCTGCTGTAATTGTATCTCGCCTTTAGGGTTCTGCATTAAATATTTGAATTCCAAAGTCCTTTTTGATTCCATATGTTATCATAATTTTCCCCCAAATGGTGCCTTCCTTGTGTGTTAGAAATGCATTTCTCAAAATTCCCACCAACGTGTCTGAAAATTTGGAAGTTGTAGCTTCAAAGCTACCAGATTAGGGAAGACAGAATTACAAGGTAAGATGTTGCAAGCTCCCATTTAGGAGAAAAGCTTGACATAAAAGGAAAATGAACTCCAGACTTTTAGCATCATTTTACAAGTGGAAAAATTATATAGCTTCATAAAAAATCCTGCTAATCTCTGCCAAGTTATTTATCTATTGAGCAGATTAGTTAGCTTGTGTTGGCACACAGATTCCAGTGAGTAGTATGTTCTCATGGAACTCAATTCACTAGAATAGCTGCTTCTTGCATTCAAATGGATTTTCCCCATGTAAATTCTATCTTGAAGAAAGAGCACATAGGTCTGTAGGTGTAAAAAATAAAGGATAGAAGTAATAGAAAGTAGCAAAATGGTTGGTTTAAGTTGATGAAAAATAGGATAGTAGAATTGTATAGATACATTTCATTCAACCTAATTTTAGATCTAGATAGGATGCCATTAAATATAACTCACAGGTACTGCATTCTAAGGAAATTATGGAGGATAGCACGAGAACGTGGCTAAAATATTTTTCTATTCTCAGCTTCAAGAAACAGGAATTACCCTATTATAGGTTTTTTTTACCTTTGTCCTTTTGGAGTTTTTACATTGACCTAGTCAGCAAAAATCAATACTGTGTTCAGTTGGAATTTCAGCTCTATAAACTGTCTTCAATCCATCCTTCAGCACCTTTTTCTCCCCCTGAAATCTAATAGCCATCAAGTACAAGGCTGGTTTAATAACATCTGTTCCCTCTGAATTACTGGAGAGAAGTATTGATATAGCCATATTGTCAAGAAGTAATTTTAATCATGTTTTGACAGGGCAATTTTTTACCACAGCATTGTCAGTAAAATGTTTATGTTGGTTCACTGTTATTATCATTCATAGTGGTATGTTAAAACATTGCACATGTGTTGGAGATGAAAGCAGTACTTAAGGTTTTATGATTTAGTATTTATGGGAATTCCTTTGCAGATTGTCATCTCCTCCAAAGGATAATGGCATCCTGTGGTCTTGTCATCAAGTGCAATTTTCTTCTAATAGCTCTAGTGATTAAACCACAAACAAAACTATTTTCCATAGTTTAGTTGTTCTTTCCTCCCTCAGCCTTAGAGAAAGTTAACAGTATCTATTTGGTGATAGCGTTGAGAACCTCAGACCAGTGTGTTAAGATTCTTTGTGGTTTCCTTTTATGAGATAATTTTGTAATTGCATGCTAAATACACCTGCATCGCTTCAGTTTTTAAAAAGCAGGTGTGTCAAGAAAGGCTTTTTTTTTCACACCAAGGAAATAACATGAGCCCTTAATACTTAAGGTTTAGTCAAATTATGACCCCCAAGATGATGTAGATAACTTTTTCATGCAATGAGGAAACAGATAATTGTAGCTTCTTTTGCCTGTTTCTAAAGAGATTCTGATATTTTCTCTCCCATATACATGCACCTGTCACTTGGGGAGACAGGGAGAAAAACAGTAGGAAGAAGAACAACAAGACTGTGATCCAGGCTTGTCACAGCTAGTGGAAGAAAACAGGATGAAGAAAAACAAGAAGAGATGAAGGAAGAAGTTGAAATCGCAGCCACCTCATTTTTTCTTATTGCAGGATATATAGAACTGCATATATTGTGTCTAGGTTGCATATATTGTGTCTGTCGTCCCCTTCTTCTATTGCCCTCAATCTTTCCCAGCATTAGGTTCTTCTCCAGTGAGTCCTTCTCATTAGGTGACCAAAGTATTTGAGTTTCAACTTCAGGATCTGGCCTTCTAAAGAGCAGTCGGGATTGATCTCTTCTAGGACTGACCGGTTTGAACGCCTTGCAGTCCAAGGGACTTGCAGGAGTTCAAAGGCCTCAATTCTTTGGCGCTTAGCCTTTCTTATGGTCCAACTTTCACATCCATACATTGCAACTGGGAAAACCATGGCCATGACTAAACGCACTTTTGTTGGCAGGGTGATGTCTCTGCTTTTTAGTATGCTGTCTAGATTTGCCATAGCTTTCCTCCCCAGGAGCAAGCGTCTTTTAATTTCTTGGCTGAAGTCCCCATCTGAGGTGATCTTGGAGCCCAGGAAAATAAAATCTGTCACTACCTCCATTTCTTCCCCATCTATTTGCCAGGAATTGAGAGGGCCGGATGCCATGATCTTGGCTTTTTTAATGTTGAGTTTCAAGCCAGCTTTTGCACTCTTCTCCTTCACTCGCATCAAGAGGTTCTTTAGTTTGTCTTCACTTTCTGCCACTAGAGTGGTATCATCTGCATATCTTAGGTTGTTGATATTTCTCCCGGCAATCTTAATTCCAACTTTTGATTCATCTAGCCCTGCCTTTCTCATGATGTGCTCTGCATATAAGTTAAATAGGCAAGGCGACAGTATACAGCCTTGCTGGACTCCTTTCCCAATTTTGAACCAATCAGTGGTTCCATGTCCAGTTTTCACTGTTGCTTCTTGACCCGCATATAGGTTTCTCAAGAGACAAATAAGATGGTCTGTACTCCCATCTCTTTATTAGATTTATACAATTTCATATGAACCCAAATATAACTACAGGGAATCCTAACGTATAAGTGGTAATTGGAACCAAGAGCACTATTGTAGAAGTGATGTGGTCATAACATGACCATGCTAATTATACAGTGGCACTCTGCCAGCAGTACTAGCTGTTGTTATTAGGTGAATCTTGTGGTCTCAGTGTCCCATGGTCACATGATTGCCATTTGTGACAATCTGCTGCCTTCATTGATTTTCCTTGTCAGAAACTGGCAACACAAGTTGCAAATGGCAGTTACGTGGCCGTTGCATGCTGCAGCGTTGTAATTGCAAGTCAGTTGCCAAGCTGAGTTACAGTCACATGACCACACTGAAGGTGCAATGACTGTAACTACAAGGACCCCTTGTGAGTCCCCCTCGTTGAATGCTGTTGTAATTGGTCACTGAACAAGTAGATGTTAATGAAGACCACCTGTATATTTTTTTGAACAATTGGATTCTGTGCTGTAACAGAACATTTGATATTGTTTCACTCTCAACATTTTTTATCTGATTCCATGGAAAGTAAGAAAAAAGCTCCAAATTAATTAGTTATAGGTAGTGCTCGACTTAATGACAATTGAGCCCAAAATTTCTGTTACTAAGCAACACAGTTAAGTGAATTTTGCCCCGTTTTATGACCTTGCCACAGTTGTTAAGTGAATCTGGCTTTCCCATTGAGTTTGCTGATTAGAAAGTTGCAAAAAGTGATTACATGACCCCGGGGCGCTGCAGCCATCATAAATATGAACTAGTTGCCAAGCATCCAAATTTTGATCACATGACTGGGAAATTCTGCAATGGTCATAAATGTGAAAAACAGTCATAAGTCATTTTTTTCAGTGCCATTGCAACTTTGAATGGTCACTAAATAAATGGTTGTAAGTCAAGGACTATCTGTATAGATCAGTGATGGCGAACCTTTTAGAGACCGAGTGGCCAAAAACTGGCCTCGCCCCCGCTCCACCCTCTGCCCCGCCCCAGCTCCATCCCCACCCCGCCACTCACCGCCTCCAGGGCCCGCTGCAGATCACCCAGCAGCGTCATGGCAGCATTGCCCTCTGCCCGTGCCCCGCAGCATCAACTGTGCACGATGGGGCGTGAGGGCAGAGCCTTGTCTACTCTGGCTCCCATGTCCTTGGCTGCACTGCTCCGCGTGGGCCACGCTCGGGGGGCGACTCTCCTCCAGGGGGGCTGCTGCTGAGGGGGTCACGGGGGAGGCAAGGCTGGGGCAACGGCACGTGTGCCCACAGAGAGGGCTCCGAGTGCCGCCTCTGGCACCCGTGCCATAGGTTCGCCACCACTGGTATAGATAGTGCCCTATCTATAACTTCTAGGAATGATTTCCCAGCATTTGTATGCTATGTATACTGTTAGATAGCTTGTATTTGATATGCACCAGGTGAGATATGTTTGCTGTTTACTAATACTTATCTGCTCATTTCTGCTGTAACATGGAGATACTGCTATAGGTACTATAGATATGCAACACTACATTTGGCATGTTATTCTCTCTTGTGTCAGTTGGTTTATAAAATGGTAATTATTTATACATGCAAATAATACATATTTTTAAATTGTATGTAAAACCTTCCCATAATCTTTTTATGCTGTTCTTTCCACATGTACTAATGTACAGTTGAAAGTAACCTGTGGAATACAACCTTCCCATTTTTATATGAATACAACTGCTTCAAAATAAAACCATTTCCATCCGTGTTTTATACTTTGGTTTCATGCCATTGGTCCATGCCATTGTAATTTTATCCTCAGATGCTTTTCAAAGGGATTCTCCCAAACTCTTAATTCATTGGATTGTTGAACTTGAATAAGAAGTTGCAAGATAGCCTTTTAGTTGCATTATTTCTTTGGACTTACCAAGTAAATTCCTTGGTGGAGAATCCTTAAATTTGGGTAAGTTGTAGGAGTGGTTTAAAAAGTATACTTATGAGACATGTTGCATAATTAAAAGCAAGATATACTCTCGCATCCAAGAGGCAGAGACTTGAAAAGAAAATAACGTTATGTCTAAAAATTTCATAACTTTTTTTTTAAGCCTGTAGTAATTTACTGTCATTAGGCTAATGTGATGTGTGGATTTCCTGAGGTAACAGTGATTTGGTGCCATAATGAGTTTCTTAAACAGCAAATGTAATGTTCAATTTCTTTTCTTACAGATGGAAGAGAAACGGCGAAAATACTCGATCAGCAGTGATAACTCAGACACCACTGACAGTAAGACTTTTTATTCAAGCCTTACAATAAGATAACCAAATGATTCCCCTTCAGCAGGAAAAGAATTTGAATATTTACTTGCAGACAGTTAGGGAAATTACATGTTACAGGTAGTCCCTAGACAATGAATTGTATACAGGGATTACTTATAAATATATTACAAGAAGTAATATATTTACATACCTGTCAATGGAAGTCTTGGGACTATTTGTCTTTCTGTTGTGAATAATGTTGGCTAAAGTAGGCCAAACTGATGGCAAAACCTTGATCTAGGATTTCTGAAATAAGAAAGCCTATCGGCAAACAGGTAAGCTTGAAGCTGGGAGTTATCTGGTTAGCTCTATTGCCTGACAATAATTACAAGGATGGGGATACTGAAAGTAGAACATGCTTCAAAATTATTCTCCAAACCAAAAAGTTTGCCAAAAAGTGTACATCTTCTGTCATTCTACATTTCTTACTTTGCTGTATCCAGCTGACATTTTGATACCCTACTTCTACTACTTCTTCCTGTTAAAATCTAAGCCCTAGATGGAATCCTTGGTACTTAAGAACTAATGTCTGAGTTTGGGCCGTTAAAACAAGCCAGAGGCTGCAATAGTGTAGTTAAAATGAACTGTGTAGTGCTATCTAAGTTGACCAAAGGAACTGGCTTTGGACTTGTAGCAGGCATGGAACTTACTTTGGCTTGCAAATGCTATGTAAACTTGTCAATAAACCCTTATCTACCTTTAAACAAGGTACAAGGTGTGACATTTAGAACCACATGACACTCTGAAGCTGCTATCTGTTCTTGGAAAAGGGAGGTTGTAGTTAGGTTTATGATTACCCTGTAGTTAAAATATGACCTGCTCTATAAAAAGCAGAGCCAGCAGAGATGAGGCAGGGCTATTTAAAGAGTGACTTGTTTTAAAAGGTTGTGTTTTTTAAGTCTGCAGGCAAAACTATATTTTGAGGACTACTGTATTTTGGGGGTGCTGCAGCACTAAAACAGGGAGAGGGGAAAGTCCTTCCAGTGGGCACCTGCTTTGTCCTCAGCTGGTTCTGCGGCTGCTTCAGGCAGAGGAAACAATACTCAGCTGGATGACTCTATAAATGTGTGTGCATGTACACACGTAGATGGCCTTATTGCCACTTTCCCTCAGGTCTCTCAGAGTCACAATTTCAGGAAAGATAATACTACTGAAAAGAGTCAGATTTGCCCAGAGAATGCTACCTGTTAATATTCTCTCTCTCCTCTCCCTCTCTCCCTCTCTTTTTCTTTCTCTCCCTCCCTCCTTTTTCTCTTTTTCCTTTCCCTCTCTTTCTCTTTCCTTTTTCTTTCCTCTCCCTCTCTTTCCTCTCTCTCTCTCTCTCTCTCTCTCTCTCACACACACACACACAGAGTATATTAAGATTTGAGATGTGTAAATTTAAGATAAAAGATTAAAAACATTTACCTTTCTGTGTTATTTCCGTATTTATTTGAAGGTAAAGGGTTTTTTTAAAGTAGTATAACACTATGCATGATTCAGTGTGGGAAAAAATCCTTCCCATTTAAGATTAATATTTGATTTACAGGTATCTTGATGGAGAGTATTTTTGATAATTATAGGACAGCGTTACTCTGTGCAATCTTGGCACTACTTGCAAATTGATTAAATTTTTAAAAATAATATGTATAAATAGTTTGTTAATAAAAAACCTCCTGTTCATTAGAATACAAAGGCACAGCATAAATCAAATATCACCTAAAATAAAAATTGCTTTGGTCTTAAGTTTTGCAAATGCTTTGGTTTAAAATTCTGTTTGTTCATAAAAACCATCAGATCTTGTAGTTCATTGTGATAGTTGGGCACCCAGCTAGAAACTGGGAGACTGTGAGTTCTGGTCTCCCCTTAAAGCCAGCTGGGTGACCTTGGGCCCGTCCAAGAAAACTGCAGGGACTTTCAGGACAGTAATCAGGAGTGAACACTGACTTAAAGTCACGCACACACAACCAAAGAAATGACCTCGTCATGTTCTTCATGGTACAACTTTTATATCATTTTGGGTCAAATTGTGTATTAACGATGCTACCAATAAGGTGATTTGTAAGACTTAGATTCAAGAAGGGATTGATATATGGGTTAGCCTTCTTAACTAGAATAAAATGTTATCTACTGGGGGTTGAAAGCAAAAGGAGCACATGCAATTCCTTGTGACAGTAAAGAATGTTCAAGTTTTTCCAATCTTCACCATGAGGATTATGGGTGTGGGAGTCCTTATTTGCACTGTTACAAGAATAGTGGTTTTATAAAAAAAAAAGAAAACGCAAGGTAGAGATGTCATTAGCCTTGCAAAGACACAAAGCAAAATCTCTAGAAACAAAATGAAGCAACACTAAAAAAACAAATCCTTATAGCAGTGGTTCTCAACCTTTTTAATGCCGCGACCCCAACCGGTCGTAAGTCGAGGACTAAACCGGTCGTAAGTCGAGGACTAAACCGGTCGTAAGTCGAGGACTACCCAACCGGTCGTAAGTCGAGGACTTTCCCTGCCCGGGAGCGCCGCGCATGTGTGATTCCGCCCCCTGCGCCGGCCGAGGCATAGCTGGCAAGCGGCAGAGACGGAGCAGGCCGACCACCAGCTGGCCCAGCCCAAGGGAGGTAAGGCACCCGCCGGAAAAAGGGGAAAAAATGGCAGACAAAAAAATGGCGGACAAAAAAAATGGTGGACAGCCTTGCTTGGCGACCCCCGTGAAATGGTCGATCGATCCCAAATGGGGTCCCGACCCACAGGTTGAGAACCACTGCCTTATAGCCTCTGTTGAAATGCAGGGAGCCCCCTACCAGTTGTTTAAAAAATCCTTAGTATTAGGTAGCTCCTTTAAAATGAATTAAGGGAGAATAATGTTATTATGAACAATTAATAATCTATGGAAGTCTAGAACTTATACAGTCCATTTGTGTGGATACACAGCACTTCTACTAAATTACACTCATCAAGAAAACTGTCCAGGCAATCTCTGAGAATCAGACACAGTTGAATGGAAGAGGAAAAAAGACACTTGAGGTGGGCTTAAGAGCTCTTGCTAGACTTCTTCACTTGCAGTCTTCACGTTTTTCACTTCATCTAAACATTGTCATGGTAGTTACTTGATAAGTATTCAAGCTGCATTTTTTTTCTTTAAGCTACTCTAAAACAGAGAGGATAGAAATACGTTTTTTAAAAAAAATAAAAATGGATTTTAGTTTAAATGGGATGCTTTATTTTGATAAAAAAAACTTTGCTTAACATTTTGTAAAACTATTATATAGCACAAAAAGTAATCCTGAACATGACTTCTAATTATATTTTAAATTACTTGCAAATATGGATATGGACCAGAAGACTTGATAACCAATCTCTTTTTAAAACTGCAAAGATAAGAAAAGCAATGAACAAAGAATTCAAGGTGATGGGAGCAGTATGCTTAAAACTTGCTGATTCGTGATTCTACCGCAGCAAAACAAGAAGATCCTTCAGACACACACCACATAAAATGCAATCACAGTTGATTTTAGCAATAATTTTAGCAATAATCAGATTATATACGTAATTTATAGAAGTGGGCTGCAAAATTCTTAACTACTGCTTAATATTAATTCATTCCATGGAAGAGACAAACCAAGGAAAGCAATTTCAAACTCATAGGTGCAAAACGTAAAGCTGGGAAATATGAACTGTATAAAAATGCTAATTTAACCCAGTTTTTACTACTACAGTTGATAGCAGGACCCAGTTACATGAAAAAGATACACGACTGTATATTCATAATTACAAAGCAAATTGAAGGAGAATGGAAGTAATGTTTGAGTTCACAAATGCAGTCTAATTTACAGTTAATTAAACTGCTTTATTTTGTGAATCAATACAATTGCTGGCTTTGCAAACTACACAGAACCATAACCTAACTGCTCTGGTTAGGTTTGCAAATAAACTGAGCCAATAAATTAGCTAACAGTATTTTAGTTTAACATGTTGTGTGAACCCAGACAGTGAGGGATTGAGAACTCCTGAGACCCATGTTATGTACCCCACAATCATTTCTATTTCTCTGGGATAGCCAAGTAAAAAACTAAAATTTGAGTAAAAAGAATTTAAAAATTCAATCAAGTTTTGGGTTTTTCATCCTTTACCTAGTGATGGGTTATATGTCTCTAAATTTGTATTTAATTACTTTCTCTAAAATGAAAATAAACATTAAAATAATGCAGCAAAACGATAAAGCAACAAATAATTGTCTGTGTCCATCTTGAATGCCCTATTTAGAAAGAAATACCTGAGTCCAGATTGGATTTGGGGAAGTGATGAGTAAATTTGCTCCATTTTCTCCAATAAAGATGGTGATTATAAATTTAATAATTCTGTAGCCAAGAAAAAATGAGAAGAAAAACAAGGAACCGTTTTAAGCCATGCAGATCAGGAGGTTTGTGATCACTCCATAGTAAATGTTAATAATTCTTTGGGAAAAAGGAATGAAAGTAGCAAGCATTCCATAGAAGAAATTACCTTTGTGGACATGAATAGAGCTGGACCTGAAGGGAAGGGCTGAAATGGGAAAATTCAGAGTTGAGAAAGAGGATAACATTTCCTGGTGTTAAGAACTGACATTAATGATAGAACTTCTAAAAATGCAGAGGGTTACAAACTGAGATTGCATAATCTACAGATATTTTAATGCCAAAGGACACTAACAGTGCAGTCCATTTATTGATTTGATTTATTTATCCCTTTTGTTCAGAAGCTTCAGATGGTATATGTAATATGTAGACTTAGTGTCAGATTTTGACAAATTGAAATTGCCGGCATATGTTGGTATTCCATGCTGAAATCTGTAAGCATTTGAGATTTGTGTACTGCAAACAACATTCAGTTTGCAATTAAACTGTCCTTAATTTAAGGCTTGGTTTATCTTTAACTTAATTTATTTTTCTTCAAAGGTCAAACAACATCAACTTCAAAATGCTCCAAAATTCCAAGTACAAAATCTAGTTGGTCAAGGCAGAAGGAGAAGAAACCCTCAGAGGTTTGTTGAATTTTTAAAAATTTCTTAGACCCTCTTCTTGGCATTTTTTTTATAATTGTTCAGTTATAAACTGCACTCTAACAAGTGCATGGGTGCAAAACAAAGAAAGTAAATAGGGGAAATAAATTTGATTCAATTTAAATTAAATTTCGTATAATTAAAATGATTCGTCATGTGCCTATTTTCCCCCTTAAGCCATTTTAAAATTACACAAATAGATTTGCATCTCAAGTTTGCAGTCTTGCCTTTGAACTTTCCTTCCAACTTCTTGTTCTTGTGCTAGACTTCAATTATTGTAAGATCTAACTAGCATAAGGAATCTGAGGTGGTGGCTAGTGCCTTTTCCCTCTCTAATTAATCACTAAGGAGAAAGCTAGATCTGGCACAAGGAACTGCAGGCATCATGCAGAATTTGTCACAGTATTTAAATTATTTTAAGAAAAAGTTTGGTACATGGAATGATCTGTTGCAGGCTATGGATTGGTATCGGTCCAAGGCCTGTTAGGAAATGGACTGCATAGCTGGAGGGTGAGCAGTGAATGAGCGAAACTGAAACCATCCGGGGAGGTCGGACACCTTTTTAACAGGAGGTAATTTGACCAGGAACTACGGGTTTTCCCCTGGCGACTAGATAACCTGACTAATATTCGTCAGTCTTCTGAAGATCCAACTTCATTACCCCACACATTTCTTTTAGTAAATATCATGGCGTCACAACTGACGCTCCTCAAACTAGGACTGACCGAGTTCTAAAGGTAGGTTCCGAGGTTGGTAAAATGAGGAACCAGATTGTTGGGGGATATATGTTTACTCTGTAAACTGCTATGAAGCAGTATATAAATCTAAGTATTATTGCTATTGCTGTTTAAGTAGAGGTCTTTAAAATGTATGTGAGGGAACTGACATCATAGAAGAAGCTTTAATAGCAGCTTCTATGTCTCAGCTCCATTCACCATTTGACTACACTATCTCGATGAACATCCTTCCCAGTTTAGAGCTATTGTGTACTTTACCACAAAATATATTTGCTTTCCCTTGTATTTTATTAGTTTATGTCAGGTAAGAAAGACCTACATGTAAAGGCTCAATTAAACTAATTTACTGTTAAGATCCTATGCACTGGAATCTTCCCAACTAAGGGCCAGCACCTGGCAAGAGTTAGAGAAGGGTCAATGGCACTCAAGGGGACGGGGTTGTTTTTGGCTCTCTTTTGGCTACGTAGGAATTCTAGGGTGAGCCCCCTTTTCACTCTTACCTCAGATTCTATCATCCCTTCTCCTATATCTTAAAATTTATCAAGCTGCCCTTCTGAAGTAAACAGACAGTTCTCAGAGCAAGATGCAACAATGACAATTCAAGTATCTGCTTAAAAATTGAGGTTGAAAATTTGGGAAAGATACTTTTGCCTTCTGAAACTATATAAGGAATGGGAAGCGGGGAAGATTATAGGGAAGAAAGGCTGTTTGTGGTTGCCATCCTCTTCCAGGCTGTGAAGTTATCTCAAGATGCCCAAACATGTAGTGCTGGCCCAAGATATTTGGTTGCCTGAAGTAGATTTCAAATGCCTCCTCATCGTTTTCAAATTGGAGGCATTTTTGGAAGTATTGTTGCATCATTCAAGCAATAGTAGCTGACATTATTTCAGCCTTCTAAAAATGAGTTTGGTGTCATTTCTCCTACAGTATCTGCCCCTTCTGAGCATTTCAGCAGGTTTCAGGTTCTGTTTGTCCAGTAATAGCAGTAATAATAATTTATTAAACTTCAATTCCACCCAACTTCCAATGCTTAAGGTGGCTTACATCACTCAAACAAATCACAAAAAAGATCAACGGTGGCAAGCATGATGAAGTGAGAGGTCACACTCTCCTTTAACAAAGGTTTGGATGAAGAACGAATAACAACAACAACAACAACAACAA